TTTCAAATTGGATGCTTCGATTAATATCAAAACCATCAGCAATGGCAAAGCCAAACTTGGTTTTGCCACTGCGGCTGATGCCGACAACTTTAGAATAAACAATGATTTTGGTCCAAAGTCTTGCATGGCCTACATCACTAGAATTTTCACAGAAAAATTCAGGATCGTAAAAAACCTAATATTAACTTAATTGGTCCGGTCCAATCCATTTCCAAACAAATCAAAAAAAAAAAAAAAAAGATTAGAGAATCTCTTCTATAATTTTTTGTAAACACGCAAATGGGGCGGTTTTTTCGGTACTTACGTATTAACGCCACCGCGGCGAAAATATTATTATTAAAATAAAAATAATTAAAATATTATTATTATTTTTATATTATTATTATATTTAGAATATAAGAAAACTTTTTTTTTTTTAATTTAAAGCGTTACTTTTTATTGATTTTTTAATGGAATTTTTGCCGCGGTGGCGTTAATACGTAAGTACCGTTTTCTCATTTCATAGGTTATACAATTTTGGAAAAGTACATTGATTTAAGGACCGCGGAATTTTCGTAGAGGCTTTCTTATTAAATATATTGACTATAAAACATTTGCCCACTGTAGATTTTTTTAAGCAGAGCTCTTAATTATTGCTAAGTTAAATAAATGTAATGAAACAAATTAGAGAACAAAAATATTTTACTAATCTTTTTTACGTTCAATATATTAACTAATACAAAACTGTTGTATTAATTCCGTGACTTTCGCTAATTTCTTTTTAAGAAAACCTCGTCGTAAAACACGTAAGAAAGTTTTATAAAACGTCTATCGTTTTTATATGTTTATTTATTATTTTAGGAAATGCTAGGTCTATTGCTTTTTATACATTTTTTAGAACATAAACGTAATCTTTTATTTGAAAAGTGACTTTTCCAATTGTTGTTATTGTTGCTGCTCCTCTTTTACGCTCTTTTTTCCCTATTCTCTTTCTCAAATGAATTTAAGACCAATTTCGTTAATTTACAGAAATTTTACTCATTAACCACGCTATGATGTTTATAAATACTTAATATTCCGTTTTTGCTTATTTCCAAAAATTTTCCCCATTTATTTTTATCGAAAACTTTGTCAGTGAACTTATAAGTTCAACAACTGTTATTCAACAAATCAACAACGAAAATGTGAACACAAAGTTTTTTGTTTGAGCCTTAGTGTAGTTGGGGTGGATTTTATAAATAATATTATTACTTATTTATTTTAATGTTTATTCGATTAGTCTTTTTTTTTAATTTTGCGTGTTATATTACTTGACTAAAATTCTAATATTGATGTCTTTTTTTGCTACTATTTAATACAACCATATCCACAACGACAAACTGCTTTGGTATTAGCAGCACTAAAACCGAAAATCCAAATTCTCGACATTTTTTTACTTTGTTTTCGGGCTTACATAAAGAATTTAAAAAAATGGGAAATTTGCAAACTATTTCCATTTACGTGATTTTCTGCATATTTTTCAGATATAGTATTTATCATTTCATACAAAATTCTCGGTAGTCTCCAGTTTTTAGTACATAGTGTTGTATTCTTATTACATTTTAGGTCAGCAAGTAGTTGCAATAATTGCAAACAGTTAGAAATAAAAGCGTTCGTATTTTAAAAATTAATATCAGTTATTGGTCTCTTCTATGAGATATACTTTAGCACTGTACGAGATTGTGGTAAAAATAAGAGTGACATACAAATTGACTTTGCAAAAAATGTTTTATAACTTTTATACTTTTGAGTTCATCTTCTTTAGCGCCCAAAATTCTGATAGCCTGCATTAATCGGCATTAGTGAACACATATTGCAAATTTTGTAAAGTCTGCACAATTTCCAAAATTTTAATGCAATTTTGCTACGGTAAACAATAGTAACAGTATATATTGCAGAAAAAACGACTGCTCAAAGGTAACATGGCAACATTGCCACTGAAGAGAACGAATGAAAAAAGTCGTAAAACTTGAAGGCACAAAGAGATTCAATTCTGTTAAATGCAAAGCCGTCGGCAAAACAAAGTAAAACTTTGGGATATTTAGTTACTAATGTTTATTTATTTCTTATTAATAAATGTATGTTTTCATATAAAATTTCTTAATTTGTTTAATTTTACAAATTCTACAATTTATTTAGTATCCAATGTTTCTTTATTCTTTTTTATAAATGTATGTTTTCATATAAAATTTCTTAATTTTTTTTATTTTACAAGTTAGTTTAGAATTAAACCGTGATAATTTTTAAACAACGCCCTCGCTAAATTCCCTGTTGAAAGGCAAAGCACAGAGTCGCTTATAATAAACAAATGGTTAAAAGCCCAACTTAACAACTTAAATGTTAACGCTTCAATATCGAGGAACTATTCAGATTTTTCATTAAAATTCACGCTTTTCATTAAAATTCAAGTTGATCGTTTGTAGAGCAGAAAATTTTTAATGTGTGGTGATAAAAATTGACACATAATATTATAATAATTTCGTACAAACCGAACTCTACAAAATTTGTACCATCTAGGCCTATTTCTGGGTCCCGCCTTATGCAAGAATTCGCTTCCCCATACATTTGAAAAATTTGCTTTTATATAGAGACAAGATATAATTTTTTGTTCAAGAATAAAAATAAGAATGTGGTGTAAGGTATTTAGTCGTCGGCCTTGCCCGACTATAATGTTCTTACTTGTTTTCTTTGTGTTTGCTTTTAAGTGTAAACATTAACTTCGTAGTTTTAAGATGCCTTCTGCCTTAATTTTAACTAGTTTAAGGCTTTAATCTTAAGTATTGTCTAAAACAAATAATAACTACATTAGTAAATGGTTTTCTAAAACTATTTCAAATATTGAAAATTAGACGTTATTGTAATACGAACACTTACTTTTGGGTAGAGCGTTTGTATAGAAGATATCCCATATGATCGATATTTTTTGTATATATATAATAAGTATGTAAAAACAGAGTTTTCAATCGGGTTTTGTCGAGAAATATTAAAAATCTGATATATCTTTTTTATGACACCATTCTAAAAATAGGGCGTTATATGTGGAGTGGTCGCAAAAATGTAAAAGTAAGTTTATATTCTTTGGGACGTGCATACGGCGGTACAAACCTAATGTATGGCATAAAAAGTTGTTCAGCGATAAATCTGCTTTGCGCGCTCGATTGCGTTTTAATTCTTAATTAAGAATGTTGAACGCTAGCGGAATAAAGCACCTTATATAAAAGGTTCAATATTGTTACGTTTTATTTCTTCGTTACCGTTTTGAATAAATGCGAAAAGATTCCTCTTACCTGCGCGTGCATTTCTGTTGTGGTGTTTAACAAAGGAAAAGAAAATTTAATATGTGTATCTGATTTTAGTTGGTCATGTTTAAAACTTAGACGTTCGCGCAAAGCGCAAATTTAGTTTCGCGAAATTATTCGCGGAGTACCTGGCTGTATTTTAAGAATCAAAAGTAAGACTAAAATTGTCTTGATTATTGAATGAATCCAAACGTTTTATTTATTATTTACCTGGTCCTTAAACAGTACAATAAGTTTAATAAAAATGCTTATGCTGACAAAAATTTTAAGTGTGAGTAAATGCTTATGCTAGTAAAACTAAATAGTAATAAAATACAAAAATTATAGGTGAGGGTAAATAATGAATTACGGTGAAGTGATAATACTGCACTATATATAATTTCCATCTATATGTACGACTCGCATTTTAACAATTTTTGAAGTAAAAAAAAGGATATTTGTTATAACTTAAAGATGAGAATAGGAATTTTTTTTTGGCTTATGTCTGGGAAAGAAAATTTCGGCAATGGTAAGATTAAGCGGCTCGTGGAAACCTATTGAATATAAAGTTAAATCGTTAGGCACATTGGACAAGCAAGTAGATAAAAATCTAAAGAATATAGACACAATTTTGAAGAAAACGGTGAGGTGAAGAAAGAACTAACAACAAACGATTCTATATATGAAAGAAGTGGAACATTGCAAAATAAATGCCTAAGTGGAAAATATTATTCAGTAAAGAAGTACTAAAATTGTTGCGACAAAGCAATACCCGCAATAAGATTATTTATTCTCAGAGGGTTATATGATTCGGGATCTGCAACGATTATAAGTCGCATCGACGTAAGTTGTTAATATAAATAAACGTTTTCGTTACCTTTAATGGAAAAATGTTTTACAGTAATGTGCAGCAAATGTCATACCTCATGACTATGAATTAACTTTTGTGAAACGTAAACTCATCTTCATATTGTCTAGATCGCTTAAACATAACCATCCATTTTTAGGCTTTGCGTAATTGTATAAAAGGTGCACATAACAATGCCCCTTCGAAGGGATTAAATTTATAAACAACTAAAGTCTAAAATGTAATCAATTTTTGTTAACCAAAATTTCTATTCAGATAAATGTGAATTGTAACTATTAATTCATATTCATAGTTCCAATATTTACACTTTGTTGCAAATCTATGTCTCCCCATGGAAGCTTAAACTTACTTATAATCTTCCGCGAAAAATTTAAATAAGAAGAGCTATAATGGATTATATTTAAAGCATTTATTTACTTACTTTCTTTAGGTAAAATATATTGCGTTGGTATTTTTTTACATAATTGCAAATTTAAGAATATTTGGAAATAAAAAGCTAGCGGCAATATTTAGAGCATTGGAGCACACGCAAATGTGTTGATTACATAGGCGTACTTTTATATAGATAATATTTAATATACGATTAGTTACCTGCAAGCATGCTTTATTTTTAGAGCATATTTTATGATTCTTAAAGAAGATGTCTCTGGCTTATCACTAGCTTCTTATAGATATGAAGCACAGAAATGGTTTGAATTTTGTTGATCGCCAATTAAATCGTGGATATAAATGTAGGTCTTTATTGAAAGTTGATATTTTTAGTAGATAGGGGTAACGTTAGGTATGATCGTGAGTGTACGCAAATTAACAGTTATAAATATATATATATATATATATAATTTATATAATATATATGCATATATTTATAATAGGCTTTGGGTACTTGGTTCATCCAGCTATACAATTCTATATAAAAATTTTTGTGGTTATGCGCTCTTGTAAATTCTGCTGTATGTAGTGTGTAAATTCGCATAAAATTTTAAATCCGTTTATGTGACAAGTGGTATCAGTTTTCCGTTAATCTCAAGCTCGAATATTATTAATATACATATAGCTTGCCTATCATTTCTATGCTATTCTGTACTTAGTAATCAATAGTTTTATATTTTTCGGCATCATCCACGGCAGATTGAAGGGCAACAATTAAAGTTTCATCGTGTGTTATTATGTACATGTTTTTACAGTTTTTTGTACCAGTACAAATAATGTTCTCCATCTTCAACCATGAGCTCATCCACTCCTGAAATTATAAAGAAAATCGTCTTATTAAGTTCAATTAATTGTTCACATTATTCATACCAACGGGAGCAATTAACTGATTTCCTGGTGCGTTGTTCGGATCTGGTAGCTCGGGCAACCGATACAAAAGCCAATAATTGTACCTAAAATACATTCTGAGTAGTACGTTTCTTTAATTTGCATCTGTTACATTTACCCCCTAGGCTCTTCTCTTTTACCCGCTAATGTGTGAACATAATGTCCGTTAGGCCATTCTCTTGCTTCAAAAGCAAATCTGAAGAAGCAGAAAAGACCATAAAGAGTGATATAAGGCATGCTTTTACATGGTTTACTTTACCTTGGGTCCATTTCAGCTGCTTGTGTCATTGCTTTGAAAAAGCTTGTATTTCTGGGAGAAATTAGGGACAAAGAAAAGGATTCACTAACATTTGAACCAACCCATAGCGTATACGTGTATGAAACATTTTTTGAATCTGATTCTTCAACAGACGAAGTTAATCCATAAGGAACTGCTAATTTTTGTTCGCCATTTTCTAATTAAGTCCCACGTCATTTCAATATTACCAAATTTCACAGAATAAACAGCATACCTGAGGCGAGGTCGCTATTTTCTCGTATAACATGGTCACACTGTAGTGCACGTACTGCTCCTAGGCCTTTCCATCCCAAGGCTAATATGATATCTGCCGTAAGGCCTACACCAATATCCGGGCCCTGACCATCTTGTAACGGCTCTTCACTCCAGCCTCCATCATCCCTTTGTTTACTGCGTATCCAACGCGATGCTGCTGTTCGATTCCAGGAGCCGGCAGGATCACGCTCCAAGTCCTGCAAAGCTTGCATTGCCAAAGCTGTACTGCGCAAAGATCCGAAACTGCCACGAGTATCTTGTAAACTGGCTAAACCTCTTGATGGTCTTCGCACGAAATGCTGAAGATGTCTGTGCCGGTGGTCGGTCACAATACAGCGCAGCGCTAAAATTACCTAAAATATAATGTTATATTAATTTTTATTTTACAGCAAAAAAACATTGATACCATTGCGATTGTATCGACACTCTGATCAGTTACACCGCTTGCTATGTCTAGTAACCGTCGAATTTGACGTTTACGTACGTGTGCTGCCGAACTACAAGCAGAAAGAGTGGTTAATGCAAACTCTATGTCTTGCGTAGGTTCGTGATGCTGCAAAGTAGCTACTAAATCGTGACCATGAAAATGTTTCGGATCCTTACATAAGGAACCTAAAGCCAATACATATCGAGCAAGTTTTTGGAGATTGATCGGTCTGGGTAAAGTATGATGACGATCAAGCATAGCTAAAATTTCAATTTCCATTTCTTTCACAGATAGCATATCTTCAAGCTCTTGAATTATTTGCAGGTGTCCGTCAGCATCAGATGGATCTCTGGCTCCTGATAATTCTTTTGCTAGAATGACCACATGAGTATCATTTTCCCATCCGTAGTTCGGCGCTCTTTTCATTTTTAGCCAGTCTAAAGCTTTCAATATAGCTTCTTGCTCTTTCTTGTCAGGTCCTTCTGATCCGATGATTTCATGAGTGGTAGTTGACGATATAGTAATTTCAGTTACACTATCAAGTGTCGACTCTTGACTAAACAGACTCATCTGAGTGGTTATACCGATTTCAATCGTTTCCACAGATACAGTTATATTAGACTTTTCGGATGTGCTCATTCCCGCACTTATGGACGGTTGTGTTGCTGTAGCAGAAATCGCTGCCATTGATTGAAGGTAACACATTTCGATTACCAACAATATAAAAGTAAAGTGAAAGACTTGGTGGCATGACATTGTCCTATTATTCTTCATGATTTTCTATAATATTAAAAGGTGAGTTATATGTAAATACACTTCTTGAAAATGTTTGTACGATTCAGCGTTTTCTAATTAGATAATTTGACATAGAAAACTTTTCCATCTAACCGAACTTGAATCTTTATATTTTTAAAATTTATTCATATTTAAGTGTATCGATTTGAATTTTTCTTTCACTTTGGATGATATAATATCTGTCCATTCCGTGTACACAGCTTTACATTTAGGTTATTAATTTATTGAAATACAATAAATTGGCAGGTTGTATTGCTAGTGGTGCTATGGTAATTGTTTACAAGCTAGTTATAGCAAAGCTGTGTGATATTGAGTCCTTTAGTATCTTTTGCTTAACGGACATAAATGACGCAAAAGCCCCAACCTCTTATAGCTTAACAAATTCCAGGTTCAAACATAGAATTATGTAATATTATAGGTTAAACATATAAAAATCGAAATGCTTTCGCACTCTTTGAATCCTCTAATCTTGAAGACTGCATATAATACGTACATTTCAATTTACAATCACTTTTCTATTATTCATGAAACACACCCACATTTCGCTAATGTCTCTTACTCATTCTTACATATAAAATATAAATATATACGCATCTGTATCGAATATTCCTTAGTGGTTCATGTGTACTTACTATGATTGCCGACTGCGTTGATTTGATTTATGCTTAAGTTTTTTTTTAATTTCTTAAGCTTTTTTATATAGCAAGAAATTCATTTTATGTAATCGTATATATTGGACGTATATTGTTCATGGGTTCTAATTGTTTATTTATTTACGGTTTTCGTTCTTATTTAAGAGACATAAATTTTAGAATGTTTCCTTCAATCACATATTTCCTTACGATTTAAAGAAAACCTTAATATTATAACTTTGACTTTTTAATGTGCACTTATTCTATTGATGTTTCTTCTACTCGCTTTTTTTATGTTTGCTTGACGTTTGTTACAGGACTATTTTACATTTATGTATATCATTACTGTGCTCAAATTGCCAGTGTCCTTTCTTCAAATTACGATATATGTAAATTGTTTTCGTAAGGAAAGCAACCACTAATATACGATATATTAATATAACATAGAATTATACATGACTGTGAAAAATTTATACAATAAATTGTAATGTAGGATGTAATTTTCGATGTTGCTCCATTTCACTATTGCACTTCTGCTTAGTTTGTGTCCAAAATCTCTCTCGGTTTGTGTCTAGAATCCCTCTCCGTTTGTGCTAAACATTGACAAATCAAATTTTTAATTTACTGTTGTTTTAAGGATTATATACATGGAGTGGAAGCAAGTTTCGCGTTTTTTCTAAGAGATGGCGAAAGTAGCACATTTTGTGTTTGGGTACTATCTTCATTATTTTATATCAAAGTACCACCTTTAACGTTAACGTTACAATGTAATCTATCTCGTTAAACTGTAACGAAAATATTTTGAGTTTTAAATAAGTCGTGTGCCGAGAAGGCCATTTTCAAAAATTATTGCTGCGGCCTTTCAAAGAAAAAAAAAAAATATGCACAATACAACATGTACACCTCAAAGAAGCAGCGAATTATTTACTTCAATACAAAGAAGCTATCAGAAAGAATCCTACCCATGCATTATGAAAGCCGATTATGAAAAAAGATATTGTACCAATACCCGACACTTTACTGCTTTATCATGAAACCTACCCAGGAAACCTTAATAACAGTGACCACGAATATTCTATGTCGATGGTTGTATAGTGTTCTTCCCATAATAGTAGTGAATAGGAATATTCTACTGTTTTCGCTACATAGTGTTCCAGCCACTTGTTGCAAGCGACGACTTATTTTCTACCAGAGTAGTACTACGATTTTTATGGCAATAAGTAAAAATAGATCTTCTCAGAAATAGCATCAAAAGATGAATTTATGCTTATGGGAACAAATTTATACGTTGCCGGAAAAATATGAACAACAGTGGCTAACGTTAGACAAGTCCTTGGATAAGATGTTTCACAAATTTTTTTCTGTTTTATCAAAAGATGGCACCAGCTTTATTCGCACTTTCCCCTCACAGTAAATTTCTGAGGAAAACGGTGAATAGCAACTTATTCATTAATCAGTACAAGTACAATAGAGTTATATTAAAACCATCGACTGCAGTCAATGCCGACGTAAATCAACGTATATATATCCGTACGCATAGAAGTTGTAATCATATGGCAAGATTGTTGTAAACATGGAAATCGTAACAAATGACAAATAATAACGAGAATGTTCGGATATAAAACTATTCTAGGGTTATTTAGGAGACGCTGCGAAAGAATTATCGAACAAATTAACATTGACAGCGCATAAATGTTACGAAAAATACATTTAACATGTCTAATAGCTGATCTGATCTAGGATGTAGATACATATTAAATTTTTGAATATATTACCATATTATAATCATGTTTGTATTGGTTAAGTTTAAAATACCTTAAACAACGGTTGAAAGTATGGATGTTTGATTTACTTGATAACATTAGGAGGACTAGATTTTAACAGATATTCGTCAGGCCAAAAAGTAAGTTTTTATACTGTATATTGAATATGTAAGGCAAAATTCTGTTGATTCAATATGGAGGAAGGAGATTTTACTCCTGAAACATATTCCAATAAGTTCAACTTTTAGAAATAAGAGCTGGTCCAAGTTGTCATGCTTCCTACGATGTCTATTTTCGATTCTGGCCCAAAAATTGCTTAGGGAGTCCGAACAATGCCGCCCTACCGATTTGAAGTAAACTACATCAGCGATAATTGAAAATTTAGAGTCCGGATACAATAACGCGGTGCTTATAGTAAGTAACACAACAAAAGAATTAAACTGCTCTCTTTCATTAAATCTAAAGAAACGTCAACAATTACAGAAACGCTATGCTATAATATTCATATCAGTTTGATACCATTCATTATATATAACATCTGATTAGAAGTCGAATGTGTATTTATTCTCAGTAGAAGTAGATCCGAATGAATTAAGAATATTATAGTTGCTTAAGGCAGACCATCAGCTACTCTAAACCATCTTGCCCAACATAGTTAATTAGTTCAGTCATTCATATTCGGAGTAATACTCCAAAAACAATACACTGTTTTTATGCAAATTTTTATTTATTATCTACGTAAACATGTTTTTATCTAAACGTTAATTTACTTGGCAAAGACTGTATTGTTCTTTAGTTGCTCTCGTCATAAAAAACCACAAATTACACTTTGCTCGAAGATCTTGTTTTTCATGAGACTCTCTATAAATGAAGGGACCCAAACAATGGATCTGTGTGATCCATATTCCTTATGGCTAATTTTAAAGCTACATTACGACTGTGGGCCGATTTTCTTAATAATCAAATAATGATGATAATCAAAATTAGGCCTGCTTGATCCAAATTTGATACCGTCAAGTGCTATATCAAGTTACTCTTATGAAACAATTGTCTCCATATGATATCGAATTTGGACATTTCTGCCATATCAAACCTTATTTTTCATTAAAATTCTTTATAGGATGCGTTCCGTAAAATAGATCTGCACGGCAAATTTGACAAAGTTAAGTTCTATGTCAAGTTATTATCATGAAAGAATTTTCACCAAAAAGTATTGAAAATTAGGGCTTTTATCTTGTGATGATCTAGTTTCGATAGGAACGGTTATACTCAGACCCGAATTTTCCATTCTAATTTAAAATGCAGAAATGTTATCATTCAGCGATTTTTGTCGCGAAATTTTGAAAATTATGATATATTCATATAGAGACTTATCAAAGTAAGACGTTGTTGAAATACATTCACGTAAATTTAATATAGCTTTGTACAACACGTAGTGTAAGGTGCAAGTATTGAATTGAAATGTTACCGATTTTTTATCTGTCTTCATGCGTTATCATGGCCATACCAGTTATCTATAACATACATCTACGTCCTAAACAGATTCCAAATTCATTACGCGAATTTAATGTTTATCTTGGAGTTTTTTCCAATAAAGTTAAATATTATAGGTTCATTATTAATAATTTGAAATTGAATATATCTTCTGCATAAAATTAAATTCATTGAATTTAACGTTTTCCGCGTTGCCATAGTTCAATTTATGAATGCTCCAACCTACTGCTGCACCACAAATTAATGATACGAGTATTTCGAATGCTGATACGTTAGATTTGTATAATATTTTATTTCCCCTAATAAAGAACCGCATCTGTACGATCAGTATCGCTTCTTGGTATTAACATTCCAGTTACAGCGACGAGTGATTGTTCTTTAAAGAATTTTGTTTATAATTTGCAAAATATATATGTTACATATAAATGGTGGAATAAAGTCAACAATAACTTTTTTCATTCACTTTACGTGAATAACTTACTTTCTCTTGAGATGAGAAATCTGCCCTTTGTTGCGACTGGTTTGTTGTTTCTGAATTTATTAGCGTTCTGTCACTTCTCCTAAGTGAACTAAATTTTGTTACATATTTTCCACCCGAACTTGAGGAACCAAAAAATTTCAATGGCAATTATCGCTTAGTCTGTATATGTACTTATCTGGATGTATAACTGTTTTATTATTATTTATTATTGTGTCGCTATCTAGAGTTAGTTAAATAAATTTGAATTTGGAATATTTATCTGTCTTTTAAATTACCTTAATAATTCATTCAAAAAACTTTACATATTAGATTTGTACTTATAAATAGTTATATTTTGAAGAAAGTGGAGCAAATTATAAATAGAAATCGTTCTTTCAAAAAAAGAAGGTTTTTACTCTCAGCAAAGTATTCACATGACACACAGTCGTAAATTTACCTGCAGTGGGTGCAGAATTACTCTTATTATATCATTGTAGTGTTATTGAATACCTTTTGTTATAATAGATCTTTGTTTATATGATTTGCTTGAGCACCAGCTAAGAGATAACGTCAGCAGTAGATGTTATCCTTTAACTCACAAATAATTGTTTCTTCACGAAGGCTTCATTTCAGTATGATTTTAAGCAGCCGTTTACCAAATTGTAACGAAACGCGACTAGTAATCTAACATAATTTAGATTTTAATGATCCTCACGTTTATTTCAGCCAGTTACAGCTTGTTGGATTAATTTCAAATCTTTGTTGTAGTATTTATTTTTGCCATGAGGATATTTCTTGCATAGAAGAAATTGTAAACAAAGTTTTTTTGCGGCCACAATGGATCAACAGATGCACCCTTATGTGTACATTTTTATGCAATTTTGTTTTCTTACATAATTGGGATGTAAAAATATGAAAAAGCGAACACAATTACAAACAGTTCCATGCACTTTTTTATTATTATGTAATTTTTAGTATTTTCGAAAAAACAAAAATCAGATTAAAACGATGTTATAAATAACGCAGAGTATGTATTGCTTCAGGTTTATCAAACATCGACAGATGTACATATGAAACCCTAATTATATACTTACAGATATATGTACATAAAGATATAAGAGTGTTTTGTTCAAAATTGTATTAAGGCGACTAGACTTCTTCAGAAAAAAGCAATACCCACAAAAATTGTGATCGTAATTTGTAGACGCCAAGTTCTATGCACAGCGAAAAATGAATCCTTTTTATTTTTGTTTTAAGTCCTCCTACTTCATTTCTCACAAGTTTTGGATTTTTGGTTCGTTTATTTTCTTGTTAATTATAGACTCTATCATCTCCTTTCTTACTGTCTTTCACTAGTAACAGGGAGTACAGGTATACAACATGAGCGTAGTATTTCACAAAAGAGTACTAACGATTGCCTTATGCTTTGCTTTCTTTAAT